TACTGACATTAATGGGTCCTGTTCTCAATGGGTCCCATACTAGGGTTACCAAATTAGGTAATACATTTATAACTTTACGTCCATGATTAGTTGTTAATCAATGATTAAGGTTAATCAACATGCTCATTAGGTCATTCCCTTTTGATTAAAGGTACACTAGTCTCCAAAATGTAATTTCGTCGATTGGTCTTCGGGTGCCGAAGGCACCGAACTTTCGTGTACACTAGTCTCTGAAATGTAATGATGTCGATCGGTCTTCGAGTGCTAAAGGTGTCGAACCGTCATGTACCCAAGGTCGATGGTGTCCGAAGTATGACCGTTCGGCCTAATCAGCCTGACCAATTAGACCGATTGACCAAATGGTGGTGTGGGGTGATGATGTATGATGTTCCAAAAGTCAATTGTTGCTTGGGTGCTGAGGGTGCCGAACTATTAGTCTCTTATGTCGAGGGCATTCCGAAATATGGTTGTTTGGCCTAGGTGCCCTACTGATTGGCCGAACACCAAGCATGTGATGTGGCCGAAAGGCTTGTCCGATACAGGTACCTTACAACACCCTAATTCGGTACTCTATATTTAACATAATAATAAACAATAATTTAAATGTTTACCCCTTTTACTAATTATTCACAGGACGAAAATATCTATTATCTACATGATTATTTATTTTCATATAAGAATTATAAATAAAATAAATAATAAATGAAATAATAAATAACACAATAAACAAAATAATAAATAAAATAAATAAAAATAATAATAAAATAGATGAATTTAGAACCTTCGAAGCAAGCTTTTTATAAGGGAATCTTTCCAAATGTGTGCGGAGTGCGTTTTGACAATCCTTCGCTCTACAAAAGCCTCATTATCACTTAGAGATTTACATAGAGAGTGGGGAAAGCTATGCAACTTGAGGTGTCTTCCATCCCTTGGCCCGAGGGTTTCTTATATAGCCAACTAGGAGGTAAAAGCATAATAGAGTTGTCCGATATGGGACTAAATTTTATAAAAATACAATCTTTTTTCTAGGCACCATGCAGGACCTCTAGAGAACTCGTTAATTGTTGGATCGTGCTAGTTCTTTTATGGTATCCTCACAATATATTGATTTTCAATTCTAACGGTTAGATCTTTGAAATCAGGTCTGTAGTGAGAAATACTATCATAACAAAAAAGTTGTCTCGTGTGAGACTCCTATTTTCTGTTAGAAAAGAATGGCACAATCCAAGAGGGGGGTGAATTGGATTCTATGACCCTTTAAAAAATTTCAGAGTATTTAGGATCTTTATTTCACTTAAACTTTTCTAAGACTGAATTTTCAAATGAAGCTTCTTTAAAGACTTGTTTATAGAAGTATGAATGCTATATGCTTTCTTGATTACAAAATAATGAGGTTCAAATGTAATGCTCCAATTCAGATTAAACCATCAATATTCACACACTCATATTAATCAAGAATTATCTTCTTTAATGTTCAACCAAGTTATTACACAAAGTAAAAGATAAAGGTAGAAGAAGATTGCACAAGTCTTTTATACTGGTTCAGCCACTCCACATGTGACCTACATCCAGTCCTCAATCAGCACCTGATCAAGATTTGTTCCACTATCTCAATGAAGAAGGTTTACAAGCACACCACACATGCATATACTTCAACACTAAAGATAACCACTTTCTTGACCCCAAGAAAGCACCCCTTGTAGAAACCCACTATAAGAAACCTTACCACTTGAGAAACCCTTCTCAAGATTTTACAAGTATTCACACAGAATAAAGGAACGAATTCACCTGGAATTCAGAAGCAAATCTTAATCTTCCCCTTTCAAGAATTTTATGATGATGATGATCTTCTATCAAGGTTTTTCACAAACGTTTTTCTTCCTGGATTCACAAAGAAAACTCTCCAAGATGGTCACAAAGACTCCACAAAAACGCTTTTCTAATTTTGATTATCAGTTCTAACTCATGTCTGAAGTTTCTAAAAGTTCAAACTATTTATAAAAGTCTCAGACCCAAATAATCGATTATTTTAAAGAATAATCGATTATTTTGTTCTTCAGGTTTTCTAGAAACCAACCAAGAACAATATAATCGATTATTTTGCTGGATAATCGATTATTCCAGAGAGTTATTCCTGGGATAATCGATTATTTAGCAAATAATCGATTATTGCAGCAAGCTGGCATCCCATTTTGCCTATTGCTGGAATAATCGATTATATTTAACGATAATCGATTATTTTGAGTTAGTTTTTAAAACTTTATTTTATGCCTCAAAATAACTTTCTAATTCATCATCATACACTCTCTACTTAGTTTAGATATAGAATTTGCTTATGCACAAAGCACACCAAGCACACACAACATATAAACAATTTATTTTCTAAACTCTATTGCATAGCTCTATTACATAGCATTTTCTTGACTTTCTTTGACTTTGTTTTTGTGCTTCCAAGTTGTTGTTGTTGACTCATATCTTGTGATCATCAAAACTCTTTTAAGCTTCAAATTCTTCTAAGCTCAACATTTTCTAGCTGCAATGCGAGACCTCTAGAGAATTCATTATCCTTTGGATCATGCTGAAAATTTGATGATATCTTCTTAATTCATTGATTTTTAATTCAACGGTCGGATTGTCAAAATTAGGTCTATAGCTAGAGATATTATCATAACAAAAAAAATGTTGCCCAACACGAAGCTTTTCTAGAAAGAGGAACGGATCATTCCAATTTTGGAATGGGTCTTTCCAAGATTGTGAATGACCCATTCCATTGACAGAATGGTTGTTCCGTGCCTCAGATTCGATTTTTGAGTTTTTGGGGCCTTCTGGAGCTATCTTGGTCCATTTAGGTGCTTTATTGGGCCCTTAGGGGCCATACATGATGCTCTTTCCAGCTACAGTATAATGCCTCTAGAGAAAATTATGTTTGTAACTAGAGATATTATCATAACAAAAATGTTGCCCAATGTGTTGGGCCCTCAAGAGACGTTTGTCTCGCTCTAGTAGACCTTTGTCCTTAGTTTGGGTACCTCGGACAAAATTGAGTGTATACAAGTGTTCTTTTTAGTAGATTTAGAGTCAAGGTAGAAAATTGTTGATTATGACTCAAAATCTTATGTACCATTTGTATGCTCTTAAAGTTTTTTGCTTGTACAATTTTATGAGTATAGTCTGTCTCCATTTGTCTGATGGGTTCAAATAAACTTATAGGCCCAGTCTGTCTCCATTCATCTGATAGATTCAAACTATACATAGTCTGTCTTCATTAGTCTGATGAGTTTAATATATCCTGTTTTATAAGATTAGTCTTAGTGTCTTGGATCTCTATACATATCTTTTTGTGGATCCTTTCTAAGTGCACGAATGAATGACATGGAGAGAGAAAATGTGATGAACAAAGTGTTAAGTGTGAACGGAGAGTTGAGAATAAGATACGTAGAGAGGAACAAAGAACCGATTAGAGGGATTACATGGTTTCTAAGAAAATAAAGAGGTTGTTCTATTGTAAGGCTACTCTCTCTGTGGATGTAGGTCAAATTAGCTAAACCACGTAAATTTACGTTCTTGTTGGATTTTCTCATTTCTACATTTTTGACTTGTTCTTGCATATGATCTATTTTGTTTGTTTTCTTTCCAACATATATATATATATATATATATATATATATATATATGTGTTTGTGTGT